GATGCATATTTGTTGAATCTTATATGCAGAATTACATTTAGACACTTGTTTTTAAATAATTGTATTTGGGCTTTTAGATATAATTGAGACCCGAATTTTGGCCATTTAGTTTACCTTAATCAGAGTCTATAAATAGACCATTGAGACTCTGAATTAGTGTGCAAAATTTGATATTTTGAGTTTTTGAGATTTGGCTCTTAATAAGAATCCTTAGTTTTACCTTTTTTGAATTTCACTCATCTTTCTCTCATTCTTGCTTAGTTTAAGTGCTTCGATGGAAGGCTAAACCTCTTTTTGAATCCTTTCAAATTTGTGAATGGTGATTATGATTAACTTTTTTGTGGTTAGAATTTAAATTAGGATTCCGTTGATATTCTGACATGATAATTAAATTTGGATTAGGTTAAATAATAATGATGTAATTCGCGATCTGGTTTAATTAGGTTATTCGATTGATTAAAATCTTTAGATAATGTGATAATCAGATTTACAGGCATTTGAGATTCTGTGGATTGATAATTTTTTAATCTATCTTTTTTTTTAAGTCAATTGCGTTCACGGTTTTAATTTTATTGATTGATTACCTTCTCTTGTTTTAAATTTTGCTCTATTGATTTTTGTTAAATTCTTCCATTTAAATTTTTATTTTGATAAATTGCTTTGATGATCCTTGAAGGACAACTCTAGTTGCTTGCCTCATGCTATAGTAATTAGGTTTTTATTATTTTGACTCGCATACGACCGTGGACCACTACACACATGATGATTCTTTTAGCTAAGCTCTGTAGTTGCCACTCTTGGTCTCAATAGTGGCTACATGCACTATGCACCTCTTAAAAAGCCTTCAAAATGACTACTTTTGACACAGAAAATAGTTACACTCACAATACTTCACTCTATAAGTCTCTGAAATGCTTACTTTTTGTACTAAAAGTAGCTACGCCCAGTTCTCAATTGAATTTCAGACCTTTAAAGTGTTCACTTTTTGCTTCTAAAGTGAAAATGCTCTAGCCCAATTGACCTCTTAATGCCTTTAACTCATATGTTTTTCTTTAGAATCTCCTGCAAAACTAATTCAACAACAAAATTTCATAAGAATTCTATTAAATCCAAACAATTTGAATTACTAAAATTAAATATTGAATTTATTGAAAATTATACATTTTTGTGCAGTTTTCACCTTTCAAATTACTTTTTTTTTATTAAAAAGATCCTAAAAAACTAATTAAAAACCTATCAAAATCTAGATTTATTAGATGATATAGCCATTCTAGTTTGCTTAATAGATTACGATAAAATGGTTATACCACCACATGTAAACAAATAACTCATTTGTGATATACCATTACAAGGGTCAAACAAATAGCCTATGTTTGCATAACTAGTTAAGTCAGACTTAGATTCATTTGACTAAAATAAATCCATATTCATCGTACCTTTAAGGTAACAAAATATATGTTTAACTTCACTCAAATATCTTCTTGTAGGTGAATAATTATATCTTACTATTAAGTTAACAACAAATGATATATCAGGTAGTGTATGACAAGGAAGATACATTAGTGCTTCAATTGCACTGAAATAAGGTACTTTAAAACTAATTAGTTCTTTATCCCTCTCTTGAGATTTGAAAGGATATTTGTTTACCTCTAATGACCTTTTAACCATTAGAGTACATAATGGATGTGATTTATCCATATAAAATTGTTTTAACATCTTTGTTGCATAAGTTTCTTGATGCATAAAAATTCTACTTTTTACATATTCAAGTTATAATCTAAGACAAAACTTTGTCCTTCCAAGTCCTTCATCTCAACTTCTTTCTTTTAGGAATTTATTATTTTTTGAAATCTCATTAGGAGTTCCAATGATATTTAAATCATTACTATAAACAATAATTTACAAACTCATTATTTGATCTCTTATAGAAATGCATGACAAATAGGATCAATTTTATATCCTTCCTTCAACAAATAATTTCTAAGGCAATTATATCACATTCATCCATATTGTTTGAATCTATAAAGTGATTTATTCAATTTGATTGAATAACCTTAACTGAAATTTGAATTGTATGCTTCTGGAAAATTAAAAATTCAGGTAGTTTTATATAAATGTCATTATCAAGTGAGTTATACAAATAGGCTGTAACAATATCCATTAAATACAAATCAAGTCCTTCATGTATTGTTAAACAAACTAAGTATCAAAAAGTACTTATATCCACTACAAGTGACTATGTTTCTTCAAAATCAATGTTAGGTCTTTTAAAAACCTTGGGCAACAAGTCATGCTTTATATCTTACAATTTCACTTTTTTCATTTTGTTTTCACACAAAAATCCATTTATATCCAACTGTCCTTACATCTTTAGGTATACGAACTATAGGTCCAAAATCTTGGCATTTTTTAAGTGACTTTAATTCTTCCTCAGTTGCATCTTTCCATTTCTATTGATTCTACATTCATTGTTTGATCTTGGTTCATTATCCTCTATATCAGTTACACATTCAATAAAATATCATTGATGTTGACTTCATTTTGATTACATTGTATTTTATTCATGACATAATTTTATTGAGATATCTTTATTTTCATGATTTTCAAGTATTTATGTTTCTTTAGGAATTGAAATATTAACTATGATTTATGACTCTTCTAGAGTCTTTACATCCTTAATTTAGTCGCCTTGATTCATTACTCCTTTTCTTTTTTTGAGAGTTTTCATCTTTTGAGCCAAAAGGTCTACCACACTTTGCACATGAGTTAGACTCATTTGTAACAGCAGACTGTCCAATTGAAACATCAATTTTGATTGGAGCATTAGTAGTTGACACATATGATACAGTCATCGTTTTTAGATTTATAAACACATTTGGTAGTTGGTTGGTTAAATTTTACAAATGAATTATCTTTTGAACTTTCAATTCACATTGTTTTAATTTGAGGATCAAGATGAGAAAAAAAATAATTTATTCCAATTGTCTCACTTTTTCCAAATTTTATGTTTCCCCCTAAAGTAGTTAAAATTTTCCTCAAAAGCTTGTTATTTTGTTTAACAAGGAGACAAGAAATTAACTTAATATTTTTGAAATTTTTTTCACATATTGTTACTGAAGGAGCACATTAGATGCATGAAAAGTGGATAAATTTTTTCTAACATATCCTCATTAGTACTCCACATAATATTAATTAAGATATGATTCTAAATAATGTTGAATTATGCTTGTTAACAATTTTAAAATCTTGCAAGTGTAAATGTGATGAATCGTAGTTCTTACCTTCTCAATTCTGCCATAAATATTTTTAATTCAGTCTTGGATCGCTAGATACGATTCTGGATAATTCGCATGTGATAAGTTCATTACTCGTGCGGTCTCAAAATATTTGTTCGTGTAGTTCAGACTTTCAAGATTGGATTGAAAAGAATCGTATTGAATTGATTAGAGACGCATGTTTAACGATCATTTAAAGAACTGAGATTAAAGATATGTGTTTTTTAATTTGAATTAAAGAATTTGATTGAGATTTATTTCAAAACTAAAATTGTTAAATTGTAGATCGATCGCTTTTGGTTTATTGAATTTCTTTGTGTTTTAATTTCTTAATTACGTTTTTTCTTACATTCAAAATTTTTCCTAATATTTTGTGTTTCATTTTTAGCGTTTGTAACTGAGATCCTTGAGAGAACAACCTAGTTTTGTTTCCTAATTTACTGTATTTAAATTACTTCTTATTTAACCGAGTAGGACATCAATCAAAATGCATCCAATCATAATGAGCTTTTAGTAAAATGACTAGTTTTTTGTGATCATATTTGTTTTTAAAATTTTTCTAAAGCACAATGAATCTTTTATCATGAGATATTCATTTTCTAGTCCTTCATAAAGGTGGTAACAAACAAAAATCATAGCTTTAACCTAATTCTGATTAAATATTTTTTTTTCTTCTTTAATAGTATTTTGAAGACCTTTCACATTTAAATAAATTTCAACATCTAATAGTCATGATAAATAATTTTTTTTCATAATAGCAAATATAACAAATTTGATCTTCGTAAAATTTAACATATTTAGTACTATCATAAAGATATACAATTAAATAAATATCTTTTAAATATTATAATAATTAAAAATAAATATATATATATATATATATCTATATATATATAAATTTAAACATTCAATTAATAAATAAAACAATAAACATTTTTAATTATGGTGATGAAAGTAATCTAAAATTACTGGTAAATTTTTTTGACACAAATTTATAAAACTAATTTAAATTAAAATAAATAAGTTATGATATATTTTTATATAAAAATAAAAAATATCATATCTTTTTTAAAATCGTCCTTTTCTTAGTATTAAAATTTTATACTGATAACGTATTATAAAATTAATATAAAATTATGATAAATAAATAAATAAAAGAAAAAATAATGTTAAAAAAATTATCTTAATTTTATTTCACTATTATTAATATAAATAAGATATTTTATTTATAAATCTAACTACACAACTCACGAGTTTAATTACTTTAAATTTGGATTAAATAAATATTTATAATCTTTTAAATTTTAAGCAATATGAAAACATTCAGCGGTAATAATTTTAAACCCTAAAGTCTAAAGATGATGAATTTAGCCTAACAACAGTACGAATCACGCAGTAAAAAGTATATAAAAAAAAAAGTAAAAAGTGTAAGTTACTATATTATCACTTATCCATTATATTTTGAAGGATAAGTTATCCCTGCTATTATTTACGTGACGTTAAAATAGTGAAATTGTAAAATGAACTAAATTTACAGACATGGAATAGGATTCTGTTGAACAAAGATATTATATTGTCCTTGTGTGGTGTGCCTAATTCAATTCCACGTGCTCCTCTCCTTTCTCAAAAAGAACACACGACACGTAGACACATCACCGAACTATCACCACACACACTCTCTCTCTTCCCTTCTAAAAACCTTTGTCCTTTTGCCTTCCAGCTTCAGTCGAAGTCACACACTCTCTCTCTCTATCTCGTAGGTCCCTTCACTTGCATCTATATCCAAACGGTGATCGGATCCGGTGCGAGCAGCACCATCACGCAGGATGCAGTACAAGAACCTTGGGAGATCGGGTCTGAAGGTGAGCCAACTCTCGTACGGCGCGTGGGTGAGTTTCGGAAACCAACTGGACGTGAAGGAAGCGAAGTCGCTCCTGCAGTGCTGCCGCGACAACGGCGTGAACTTCTTCGACAACGCTGAGGTGTACGCGAATGGGCGGGCCGAGGAGATAATGGGCCAGGCCATTCGGGAGCTGGGCTGGAAGCGCTCCGACATCGTGGTTTCGACGAAGATCTTCTGGGGCGGGCAAGGCCCAAACGACAAGGGCCTCTCCCGCAAGCACATCGTGGAAGGCACCAAGGCCTCCCTCAAGCGCCTCGAAATGGACTATGTCGACGTCATCTACTGCCACCGCCCTGATTCCTCCACCCCCATCGAGGAAACCGTGAGGGCCATGAACCACGTCATCGACAAGGGTTGGGCCTTCTATTGGGGCACCAGCGAGTGGTCCGCCCAACAGATCACCGAGGCCTGGGCCGTAGCCCAGCGACTGGACCTCATTGGCCCAGTCGTTGAACAGCCTGAGTATAATCTCTTGTCCCGACATAAGGTACCCATCATATTAAATAATAACAAAACTCGCTCTTATCAGATTATTTGATTTGATTTGATTTGATTCCATGCCTATGTAGGTGGAAGCTGAGTTTCTTCCTCTTTACTCTAACTATGGTTTGGGACTCACTACTTGGAGCCCTCTGGCTTCTGGAGTGCTCACTGGCAAATACAAGAAAGGAGTTATACCGCCAGATAGTAGATTCGCATTGGAAAATTACAAAGTATTTTTTTCTTCTTCTTTATTTCGATTATTCCACTCTATTAAAATACAAGTTTTGATACTCACCAATTAGTCCTTATACTTCTAAACAAAAATTATGTTTTACAGTTGCTATAGTTACTGTTTTTGTTACGGTTGAGAACTCGATACTCTGCAATTTTCTATAACAAAATTGTAAGGTTGAGATTAATTTTAGCATATATTTCAGCTGCATTTAATGTGAGGTTAAGATTATCATTTCCGGTGTTTTCGTAGAATCTGGCAGCTCGGTCGCTGGTTGATGACGTGCTGCGGAAGGTTGATGGATTGAAACCAATAGCGGATGAACTTGGCGTGCCGTTGTCACAGCTTGCGATTGCGTGGTGCGCTGCTAATCCTAATGTTTCATCTGTTATCTGCGGTGCTACCAAAGAGTCTCAGGTTAGTTCTTTTCCCTGTGTGATTTACAAATTAGGGAGAGTAATTGTTGTTCTGTTGTTGAAATTAAGGCTTTCCATTGTGGTGTGAGGAACTAAACTGTTTGTTAAGATTATTTGCTTCAGATGTCTATGCCTGTGTTATTCTTCTTTATGCTTTCCCTGTTGTCTTTGCTTGTTATTTACTTTTTTCTTCCTTGATTTCTTAGATGAAATGATGAATGCCTGTTCTTTTGGATTTTGTGTGGCGTTAGTGTCGAAAGGTTTTCTCCACTTTGTTACTAAAAGGGTATTGTTTGGATTGCATTGTGCTCTTTTGCTAATGTTATGATTTATGAAGACTTCTAAACTATCAGTGAAGGAAGCTTGAATCAAACTGAGAGGTTGAAGATTTTAACAAATGGTCTTAAAGAATTAACATCGAATTGGACCCTGATATATACTGCTTCTGGTTTTTTTGCTGTTGGTGTTTAAACTGTATTATGCTCTGCTCTTCCCTACATATCTTTCCAGTGACATTCAATGCAACTATTCCTTCAAAAAGTGAGGAGGGAAGCCTTTAAATATATTATGTTTAATTTGGAAGCAGAAGAAATGGTAATGGTAGGGGAAAAATCGTAATTAGGGTTTTGAGGAGGAAAAAGAATTGAGTCTTAAACAAATTTCTCTTCTCGAAAGCTACTGTGTTGAACTGAGAAATATAATATGGATGGATTATATTGCAATTAGCAAATTAAATATGTTCTAGTGGCATTTATTCAGGTTTGAATTGTAAATTGCAATGAACAAATAAATTGGACATGGACAAAATTAAGGCGATTAATCACCGAAAGATGCGTAGTTTGCATGATCAAGCAGTTAACAGAAAATCAATGTACGCAGTAGGGAGTAGGGACAAGAAGCAGAAGTCCTCCTGACTATATATAAAGAATATTTTATGTTATATGTATAACTTTTGACATTATTTTGTCATCCTAAAGAGGATTGGAAATATATTGTATGTATAGGCAATAAAATAATTCCTTACATATTCCACTACATGCACAATTATAACTTGCCTCCATGCCTGCAAGATTTTATGATGTTTCCCTTTACTTTAGAGACATGAAAACAATTAATTTCATTCTTATTTTGAGGTTTATCTTGCTTGCCAGAATGTAGTTTTTCAATGTAATATTCTCTTCTTTTTTTTTTTTTTTTTTGCTTAGATTCAAGAGAACATGAAAGCAGTCGATGTCATTCCATTACTTACTCCTGTTGTGATGGAAAAGATTGAGGCTGTTGTTCAAAGCAAGCCAAAGCGCCCTGATTCATACAGATGAACTGCAAGGTTTTCATTCTCGGATGCATCATATATATGCATTAAGTGGGAGGCTCCGTCATCCTGGTGCACTGGAGTGGAAATTCTTGGTGAAATTAATTGGTGTGATTGATGTGATTTCCCCATGGCGACTTTTTTTGTCTTTGTTTTTCTTTATGGTATTTTAATTATGCCTTTTCTTGGGTTTGAAAGCCTTCCAAATTTATTTTAGGAGCAAAGGATTAACGACTTGAAATTTAGGTTTTACATTATTTTTGCTTATTAAAATAACAGATTGGCTTGGATGGTTTTAATTTTTTTTCTCGTGTCAAACTATAATTTTGGATTTTGGGAATTGTTTTTTGTTGATCCTTATTCAGGTAGTTAGGTTTATTTGGTGGGATATGACATGGTTCATGTAACACCTTAAAATTTTATTACTTCTAAATTAATTATTAATCATACTAATTTAAATAAATTAGAATTAGATAATATATAAAATGAGAAAAATTAAAATATATTTAGTAAAATTTAATTGTAAAACAGATGAATTATTGAAGAATCGAGTATTGTAATTATAGGGTGATTTAATTTTAGCAGAAATTAATTATTAAAATTATTTTAAATAATTTTAAACTATCTAAATTAGAGATTACAAATAAAAAAAAAATTAAATACAAGTTGTAAAATTAGTTAAAAAGATTAAAATAATTTTAGAATAGGCTTAAGATGATAATTTAATTTCAGCAAGAAAATGAACATAAACAATTTTAAAATTTTTATAGCAATTTATTTAAGCAAATAGGTAATTGTTGTTTAAGAACTAAGCAAAAATCTGAAATAGAAAATTTAAACTAAATGTGTCAAAAACTAACATTGATGTGATGTGTAAAAGTTAGTTAGAAAAATTAGATGATTTTATTTTATTCAATTTAAGTGACATTTTTTTGGTGAAAAAACGAGTTAATTTACTAAGAAATCAGTTAAAGTGAAATAAATTAATAGAAAAAAAAGTTTGATTTACTAAAACTCGTGAAAATAACACTTAATAATTTAATTTCTAATCAAATAGTTTAATTAAATGGCAATCAAATCAAATTTAATCAACAAATAGTATTACGTGAAGAAAAAAATTTGACTTAAATAATTAAGAATTAAAAGTAAACTAATCAAGTATACTTGAATCAACAAGTTGACATTATATCAGTCAAATTATGCATAATTTTTATGAATTATTTTCCACAAGATTTAGCTGAATTAAGGGGAGATTTCAAAAGTAAAGTTGCTTGACTTGAAGTGTCCTAATTGGTTGTAATGTCCTTGTCCCATAAAAGTGTTAAGGTATTTGACAAGTGTACCAAGTTTGCAATGTAGTATAAAAGATTGTCATATCCAGTGGGAGTATTGATACACAAACAATTTCAGTTATCCCAATTAAAAATAATAATCCTAAATGTTCACAAATTTACAACTACAATTCATTTGGTTTTAATTGGTTGGATTCATGAAAATTTAGCAAGATGACAAAATGTAAATATACTATGATAATAAAGAGCAAGGGTCGGATTTCATCTATCACTAACTTCGTATTTTAGTCATAATATAGTTTGAACAAATACTATGGTCATACGATGCACTCCCATTATATTCACTTGTTCGATTTTACTCACTCGAGATTCTAAGATATATTTATTAAATGATAATTATTTACCCAAACAACAAATAACTCAGCATTAATATCAAGAATTGTTAAGCATACAATAGATTAACATTTATTCCTAGAATCTTAACTACTGTGTGAGTTTATCTCAATCGGGTCCTAAGGTAGTTTCTCAACTCACCAAGTTCCCAAATCATGAATAATTTCTCGTAAGGTAGAAACAAACATTAATATCAAGATAAACACACCCAATGCATGAAAAATGAACAAGTATATTAATGAACTAAAATACTTAGAAAGTTAAGATCACATCCAATCCCCTATGAAGTTTTAGACACTCATAGTGTACAAAACAACAAGAAAACACATGGAAAGAGGATAGAAGTAGCCCTCCAATGGTGTAGTCACTCTCCCACGCTTCTTCTCTCGTTCTCCAGTCCGAACAACCCTCTTAGGTCTATCCAATCCCCTCTCTTGTTTTTGGGCTCTTCAAATTTAGGGCATTTAATGAATTCTCGCTTGAGCGAGAACCACACAAAGGCACCTTCCAATCCCAGTTGATCTTGCCCATGCGATATCTCTCCTCGCTCAGGTGAGCTTCTCACTCATGCAAGGATAGTCTCGCTCAAGTGAGAATGCGACAGAATGCAGCCCTTGCAGCTTGACTTCCTCACTTAGGTGACTCGTAGCTCGCTCAGGCGACCCAAAGCTTGCTCAAGCGAGATTTGTTGGCTTTGAGGACTTTGCTTCTCTTCTTTTCAATCTTCATTCCATCAAGTCTTGCCCTTTAATATTTAGGACAACAAAAAAGGATCAAATACCTTTATATGATCACCTATTTAAGGCAAATAATTACTAAATTTAAGTAGCTAACTTCAATTGACATGAAATGTAAATGCATTGAATTAAAAGGAAATTTAAGCATAAACTAATTAGAAAGGAATCGATTAAGTACCAAATTATATACAAAAAATTACTACCAATTGGCACTTATCAACGCCCCCAAACCTAGACTCTTGCTTGCCCTCAAACAAGGTATTCACATCTTTTAAATTAAAGATTGAATCAAAAATTTCTTTCCAAAAAAAATCAATTGACATAATTCAAAATGTTGAGTTTGTTTATCATGATTAAACATTCACATGAGCAGTCCTCACACATTTCAGTGGTGCCCACAAATGTAATCAACAAGATGCTAATGCACTTAGTATTTTTAAAAGAGTCAAAAGAATAGTTCAATGACTATGACCAAGAAGATTTCACTCATTAAAATCTCAACAAGGGTAAGTATTTCACTCATCCAATCACAACTTGCTAAGTAAACCATAATTACTGTTCATCTCAATAATCATCATCATCAAAGTAAATTCAAGATCACAAATGTCTTTTTAGGCTTGTAAGGAGGTTGGGCTAAGAAGGAACTTGGTTTTTCTGGATAACAAGTCATTCAAATCATGAAGAAAGCACCCAATATCTCAAAACTTGTGCTATTAATTTCCTTTAACTCATCCAATCCAAACAATTTCTTCAACCAAAACATTCTTTTCTATCTCAAAGCCTTCATTTTTCTTTTTTCTTTTTGTTCTTTCTCTCCTAACTTTTAGCATTTTTGTTTTGCAATGATATTTTCACTTTGACGAAGGAAAGGAACAATTTATACATCACTAATTTATCCTTCAAATCAAATTCCCTAAACCCTTGGAAAAACTTTATGCTTCATAATTTTGAATGAAAGGGAATGAGAATAATTTTCTTTTAAGGTGCTGGGAGGGATTTTTCAAAATAATGTCAATCTCTTTTAGGCTCAAATAGGTTGCAAGTGATAATTTAATTTAAAGGTTAGCTATTTTGCCTTAGCTTGATTCATAAAGATGGCCTTGATCATTTTAAAAACTTGCCAAAAAGAAGATGAACAAAGATTCAAGCAATAACAACTACAATTTAGAAGTGATGACACTCAATCAACTGTGTAGAATGCACACAACTCACCCAACAAAGGCTAACTCCCCAGTTTAAGTCAATTCACTATTCCAATTACACATTTTAGAACCAAATTATGCAAAACACTATCTAACACATGCTGAGCACCCACACATTTTACAAATTGGACTCTCAACGAATCATTTCATGCTCATAACCAAACATCAAGCAATAACTTATGCAATTCAAGTGTAAATTTGCAAAAATTCTAGTGAAAACTACACAAAAAGTCCTTGTTCCAAATTGTAAAGGGTATTTTTCCTTTTATCTGCAATACTTTTCTATTAAAAATTAATGTTTACCCACTGCACTATTTTAGAATCAATGAGTCCAAAAAGTTGTTTTCTCTTTTGAAATAAAGTTCATTGTGCAATGTTAATAGCTGTTCAAAAAATTCATGCAATCAATTTGAATTTACTAAAACTAAAATTCTAGACTCAAATTCCAGAAACCAATTGCAAAATTAACATCACAATCGTAAAGTCAGTCGCAAAATGCAAGAGCTGTAAATAAACAGAAACTATGAACAGTGAAATAAACTATAAAGGTAAAATGCTAAAAATATAAACTGATGAAACCCAATGTCTGTGGTGGTGCATCATAGTTCTCCTACAATCCTATCTATGAGTCCCTGCAAGTCTCTCTCCACCTGCTACACTTCCTCTATAATGTCAACTTCTGTAGTGTTAGCATAAGCTCCAGCTCCCTCTGCAAACTAGTCATCCTCTCTCTTTCTTTATGCTCTACAGCTTCAGCTACTTTCCCTATAGAATAGGCCTATCCCTAGGCCATGCAACCAAAGTTGCGAACTGCGCCGGAGTGCTGAATGAGCTAACCTCTGAGGGCATGAGATGAGAGACTATCTGATGTAAGTCAGACTACAACTGCAATTGGCCTCTATAGTTAGCAACCTGCTACTCATGAAAGTGTTGGAAGTGGGTCATGTACAGTGCATGCTAGTCATGTGGGGCTACATCCTCCTGTTGTGGTGCCTGAGCTATGGGTGGAAGAGGTGATGGTTGAGGTGCCTCAGGCTCTGCTGCCTCATTGGCAGTGCAGTTTTTCTCAATAAATCTTCTATCTATGGGTGGCCTGATGCTCTTGGAGAAGTTTACTTCCACCCCTTGGCTTCTGCATAGAGCTGTGATAAAAGCGAGATACCCAAGGGCCCTCTTCGAGTTGTTCAAATTTGGCATGATATAAACAAACTGATTGATGTCTTTATAGACAATTGTAGCAAAATCTACTGTCAAACCAGCTAAGATGCAGTATAGAAGATGGCATTTGAGCATGTTTAGATCTTACACATGCCCATTAGGGATGATATTGACCAACATGAGTTTTGTCCAAATTTGAGAGACTGTGGTCATATCACTCTGATGAATCCAAATAGGTCTCCCATCCTTAGCTCTCTAATAAGTGTGGTAGGGGAGGCATATGAGAGCTGCTATTGTGTCGTCATCAAAACCTTGGGTAGTCCTTTTCAATTTATAGTAAGTGTGTAGCTCTCCTTCTCCTAGGACTAGAGAGTCCCTAAAAAATGTGTTGATAGTCGCTCTATCATAACATACCCATTTGCCTCTAACCCAAGAGTGCATCTTGTAACACCTTAAATTTAATTTCAATTAAATAATAATTTCGCAAATCAGATAAGAAAATTTTTCATAAAAGATTTCGAAATAAGTGAAGGGTTACAAATTAATATCAAATAACTATTATAGGACTA